ATAACATTACCAAATACAACGTTTTCATTACTGATTCTTCATCTGCTCAACTCAATTTTTTAAGATTTGAACGGAACAGCATTCAGGAATCACTTCCTGCGAGTGTTTTGCTTTTGCTTTTTGCCTAAACAGTTAGTGGTCACTGGAGGATCAGAGGCAGATGTGTCTGGAAAGGTACAGCCCTAGAACCCCACGACCACACATCCAATGTCAAGCTCCACCACACTGGGATATTTTGGAAGTAAAAACATAAAACTGGACAAATGAAAACAAACAGAACTACAAATGAAAAAACTCCCATGAAGTCTCTGGAAAGAGGAGGGATAAAGTGAGGGTCTAGCTGTTCTGCAGGGTCGTGTTTGATTAGAAGTGATAGGAACAGCAGCATCCACAGCCAGGGGCTGGTGTAGGCATGGAGGGGGGCCCATGTGGGGGTGCTACAACCTTGCCCCAAGAGCTGGGGACCAGAAAGGAAAAGGACACCTCTTTACATTATGAGTGTGACAGGGGGACACCCTGGGGGACTGTCCCACCACTCCCTGACTTCTACACTTCTCTCATTTGACTTCACTGTCCTTTGTTTCTTCTTCTTCACGAGCCTGTTTTCTCATCTGTAAAGAGGGGATAACCCAAGTGCCCACAAAACGAAGTCAACCATGAGAAATGCTTATTACATTCTTGACACTCAAGAAGCTCCACTGTTGGCTCATACCAATACCATTATTTTTGCTACTGGCCGTGCTACTCAACTGTTCTTACTGTGAATGGGTCCTCTTTCCCCCTGCCTGTCTGTTCCCAGCTAAGTCACCATTTCTTTCTTTCTTTTCTAAACCTGTAGATGAATCTTGTCATCCAATCCTGTTATTTTGGAGTGTCCTGGTTGTATGACTTTGGCATTCTCTAAGGAGTTACCCATGTTACCTAGAGGCTTCTGGTAACACAACAGCGTTTCTTGGATCCCAGTGCTAGGATCTGTGGTAAGTCTCTCCCAGGTCCCATCACCTACCTCTGACCCATATGCCAGGTGTGGGGTGCAGGTACAGGGTCAGGTGTGTCTGTCTTCTATGGAAGGGCTTTTCCTGCAGCCAGTACTCAACTGCTGTGTAGGAGCCGGTTGGAGAATCACTCTCGTCCATGAAAAATGCTGGGTTAAAAGATACTCACTGTGTCCAGAGAACGGGGCCCATTGGAGTCAGCGCATTTACTGTCTCCACGAAAACACTGCAAAGCAGCTACAAAGAGAAAGTCCCTGACATTGTGCCTTAGCTTCTTCCCTGCTCCCTGCTGCTCTGTCTTGGAGCTGTCTGCTTCCTTGCAGTCTGAAAGTTGCTTCTCAAAATGCTAATGACAAACATCTCCATCTGAGGATTTCTCACGGGGTTTACCTCTGCCTCTGTCTATCTTTGTCACCAATCTGGGCCTCCCTTGGGGCTGTAGGTCAAGGGTGCCAGAGAAAGTTGAGCTGATTTTGCTGCAGTCTACCTGTGGATGCCACTCACAAAACCATGAGGGCTGCACAGAAAGGCTGGGAAAGGCCGGGAAAGGCCAGAGATCAAGGACTTTCCAGGAGTCAAGAATATGCTCAGCCTGGGTGGTGACCTCCTGCCAGGATTCCTGTTTCCTGCAACAGGAAAAATCAAGGAAGCTGATTTAGCCTCTTCAAAACAGGTACTGCTCCTTGGCACTCATGCCTTTGACTTCCTGATGGCCTGGAATATGAGTCCTGGGCCTCAGCTGCCTTATTCGACAGGGAAGAGGGATTGGATGACTTATACGTTCCCTTGTCCTGCTGGCATTCTGTGGGACTCAGACATCTGACTTGGCACCTGTGGCCTTTGTCCTGGGCAGCAGCTCACCTTCATGTGCTGTCCTGAGGTCACTGGGGAAGGCTGAGCCTGGAGGGGAAACAACCCCTTTGCTTTCAATCCAGCCATCTTTCCCTCCAAGTATCATCAGCCTGTAGTGTTTCAGGAATTGGAATAGTTTCAGCTGCTTTTCCTGATCGCACAGCCCAGCCTATCAACAACACCAACAGGAGGCAAAGGGGAAAGTTTTCAGATGGAGCTCTTAGTCCTTTTGGGGCAGAAAGCATGTGGCTTGGTTTCTGCTCAGGCATTTTGACTTTTATGTTGGGCTCAGTTAAAAATGACAGGCTAGGGCCTGTGTTAACAATTACTTTGCAACATCTTTATAAATAACTAGACTAGCTTGTGTATAGGTCTTAAAGAATATCTTGCTACTCTATTTTGACACCTAAATATTGAGTAAAATAAACTGGACTTTGCTTGAAAGAATTTCAAGTGATTTCCTTACAACTAAATTCTGCTCAGTAAGAGTGCATTCGTGACTTAGGAAAACATGACATTTTTCAACCTATTGCTTCATGAGCCTACTTCGATGAATGTGGTACTCTTAATGACTAGTAGAGTGTGCAGAGGAGAGAGAAGCAGACAAGCTAGAAAATGCCTTTTGAAGGAAATACACTCGCCTCATCAATGAGAAAATCTGGGTGTGATTTTCTCAGTTGAATTAAAAATCACATACAGTATCTCTTTCCTATAAGACACTGAGGGTGTGCTTCAAATTATACATAAGCCAAAGCCATCATTTGACAGCTCTTCCCATTGCCTTGCTCTTGGCACCCTGGTGAAATATCCTTGTGTGGCAGAAAAAAGAGCTCTTTTTCTGGCTGGCTTCCTTTCTCAACAACAGAAGGTTCTAGAAGGTTTAGCTAGTAGGCTAAGGCTCTGAGTATTGGCTGCCAACTTATACCCAGTTTCACCTACATACCTGGGCAATCAGCAAAGATGAAAAATTCTGAGATGGGTAACCTGGAAACACTGTTGTTCATAATTTGAACTTCAGTAAAGTGAAGTATTATCCATGCTTAGAGTAGAGCCTCTTCCTTGAGAGAACAGTTTATTCTCTCAGTTATATATTTTTCAGGGTTCTATTTTCAGGCCTAGTGTAATCGGTTTTCCTTAGAGGAGAACATCTGTAAATAGGCCATCACTCTGGGCTGGGTAAATCCCACAGTGCATTTAATCTGTTCTTTGTTTATTGACTGCTCATCTGGCCTCCAACACACAGACCAATGTGATGTCTCAAGCTGTGTATTTTCCCTTTAGATTCTGTTCACTTTAATTGCTGGGAGTACACATTGGTGGTTGGCTGGATCCAGGGAACTTTTTTGGCAGTGAATCACATGTTTTTTCTCCTTTTGCTTCCGAAGTCTTAAGGAGCCTGCTTGAGACCCTTCCTGCCTTCTAGCCCCCTTCAAAGACCAGTTTAAACTTGTTCCTTCTGCATAAAGCTCACTCCAGCTAAAATCCAGTGAGGAGAACAATTCAGCAAACTCCCTTGCTGGGGTGATGTCGCACTGCAGATTTCAAAAGGCAACTCCATGCTTTTCAACATACTTATCTAAGCTTAAACCTTGTACTTGCAGAATATACTGCTATACCCTTGAGAGGTCCAGTTTTGCATTATTGACACTGTACTGATGCAGTTTTTAGGGCATAAATTTCTTATAAGGAGCAAGTCTGCTAATCTGGCTTAGAATAATGAACAATGAGATGCTACATGCAGGCAGATCAATTAAATATTTTGATGGCAGCCCACACAGCCCTGTAAATCCTTGATATATTCATTCATACTCTTCAGCAGTTCTGAAAAGCATATCAGGGTGTGGTTTTCTCAGTTAAATTAAAAATCACATACAGTATTATCTTTCCTATAAGACACTGAGTACTTGCTTCAAATTACACATAAAAAAGGGGGGGGGATGACATCTATCACTATTCACCCCTTTTCTACCCTGCAGTTTTCTGCTGATACACACACACACACACACACACACACACACACATATATAGAAATTTTTTTTTTTTGAATGACAGTGTACCCAGTTGGAACTGGGAGGAACTGTCTATTTTTAATCTTGTAAAAATATGTATTTCTTAAATGGAGAACTTGGTTTGGTTTTGATTTATTGATTTTATTTATTTATTTGGTTTTGATTTATTTGTTTTTACTTTTCCTTCAGTGCCTTGTCAGGATGCAAGATAAGCAAGGACAGGCACTGAATCAACAGATGCCTAAATTCAAATGTAAAAGCCAGAGGCAGAGTCTGGGAAGAATGAAACATTTTTCCTGACACAGGTTGGTGTGCAGAGCTACTTTCTCATGGGTTTTGCTTCCCCTGGGACACAGGCACAGCCAGCATGGTAAGGAGCAATTCCATTTTTCTAGCACTTTCTCCCATGTATGTTCCCAAGTGAATGCTAGTCTCCTTTAAATGTACACATACCTTGATAAACTCCACATAGAAAAAAATGAATCACCCCATCTGAGTTTTCCTGGGGTTCAAGAGGATATAGGATTTCTCTGCTGCATCCCCCACATTTAAACATGGGTTGGATTTCACTGGGAACTATGAAATGTTTTAATATGTCACATGAGCGAGTCAATACCCCAAATTTTTCTTAACATCAGAAATGGAAGAGTTTTCCTTTCCTCTTAGGTGAGTTAAATGATGCCTCAAGTCATAATTTCTGAGAAGACAACCCCCAACATTATTTAAATTGCTAGGGAAGGGGGGGAGCTCATAACTGAGTGATAATGTTTAAGGTTCTGTCCACTAAGAAAAGGTGAATTTTTGAGAGAGACGCTGAAATTTAAAAAAATTATGAAAAATGTATTGCTTGTTTTTCACTGGAGAAAACTAGTTAAAAATGGCCTATTCCCAAAATTTGACCAAAAACTAATTCCTGGAATTGCCCATCTCCCTTCCCGGATCCCATCCACTGGCCTGCAGCGCTTAAATTTTCCAGTTGATGCCTGAACTTGAACTAGTTACCTCTTTATTTGGGGTTATTTTACAACTCAGGAAGTCAGGTTTTAGAATGTGGAATCCCAATCATTTAATCACTAACTTTCATCCCGAGGTTCTAAATACACATAAGGACATTTTTATTAACAAACAAATCAGACAAAAAATGTAAAAATTAGGCTTTCAATGTTTTATTTTGTTGATTCTGTATAGCTCAAGGGAACAAAGTTAGAGGTAAAATAAAATGCCAGTTAAATTCGGCTACTACCAACAACTAAAAATTTGCAGTATAAAAAATGCAAGCTGCTGATAAATCATATAATAATCTTGGGTAATTGGTTAACGCCTTAACGGATCAAGAAGGGTGGGTCATCTATGTAATTCTTCAACGGCAAAGCGGCGAGAAGCACGACCGGTGGGACGTGCTGGTTGAGGATTCCATACGCCGGAGGGACAGAGGGACAGGGTAGAAAATGCCACCGGCAGGCCGCGATAACAACAGCTGGGTCCGCGGAGCAGTAGGGGTTTGGAGTCCTGGTCCTCCTCCTTCACGTCTTTTAAAGAGAACGTGAATTAGCTAGCTTCAGATGAAGGAGACTGCGAAAAGCCTTGCTACCTATTTTAGTAAATCCGGAACACAAATGACATGAAGGGTGGTGGGTTTTTGCTTTTAAGCAAGATCAAATGTTGATTATGCTACCTTTGGGGAAGGGGAGACGAAAGGTGAATCTCGAGTTCTACGCGAAGAAGACCCCAGGATTTAAGAGCAAATACTCCCTGCAACGAAACACCTAGTTATGCGAGTCTCAAAAATAGCATTCCAAGTCTGGCTACCAAAGCCGATGGACTTCCCACCCCCGCATACCCATCAACCCTGGAGCTGTCACCGCCCCCACCCGCGGCACCGCGATGCCAACGCTGAGCCACTGAGGGTCTGTCCAACTGCGACACCCCGATGGTCTGCGCGGACTAACTGGTCTTTTTCGGCCTCCCAGGTCCGGTAGTTTCCGTTGACAAGCTTGGGTTTGGCTGTTGGGAACTGTGCGCCCGTGGGCTCCAGCAAACAACTCCTCTGCGGGTCTGCGCTGTTCGAAATCCCCCCCAAGGCCTGGAGGAGGACTGCTCCCTGGAGGTCGCACTCTGGACTGGTCTTTCGCCCCACCCAGAGGGATCCCAACAGAACACAGAGCCTCCTAAAATTCACACCAGTCCTGCGAGGCGCACAGCTCTAGGGACAGGGAGAGAGAACTCGCTGGGTGATGGGCACTTTCTGCCTTAAACGGATGGAATCCACCTAGAACCTAAACCGCCTAGATGTTCCTTGTAACATCTGCTGGGGGTGCTTTAATTTCCTGGGGGAGTAGGGCTGGGGAAGAAGGCGCTGGACAGTCCCTACCTCTGGGCCAATGAATTCGAAATGCCCTTCTTACTCGGGCCCCCTCTCTCCCTGGACTCAGAGGCACAGGGGTGCGGGAAGCTGGACGGCAGGAGGCCGGGCAGAAGTCCCATCTCGCCCAGGGCCCCGGCAGGGCCTCACTTGGAGAACTGAGCCTGTACCGCTGCCAAGCCCAGGCCGGCGGGGACAAGGTGCTGGAACTTGCAAACCGCGCAGGTGCAGAGGCCGGGGCCGCCCGCGCCACCGCCGGGAAGCGCGAACTGTCCGCACGGCGGCTCGTCTAGGGCCAGCGACAGGTACTTGGCGGGGCGCAGCGCGTCGGGGGGCCCCACGGCGCCGGGTGCCAGCAGCACTGAGCCCGGCGCGGCAGCCAGCAGGGGCAAGCCAGCCAGCAGCAGGCGCGGCACAGCGGGCCCGGCGCCCTCGCCCAGCGCTCGGCGAAGCTCCTGCAGCGAGCTGCCCAGCAGCAGGATGTAGTTGCGGGCGAGCAGCAGCGTAGCGATCTTGGACAGCTTGCGGCCGGGCGCGCCCTGGCAGTGCGCCGCAGAATAGGGCAGGATGACCTCGCGCAGTGCGTCCATGGCCAGGTTCAGGTCCTGCATTCGCTTCCGCTCGCGGCTGTTGATCTTGCGCCGCAGCTGCTGCTGCTGCTCCTCTTTGGCGTCAGCCCGGGCACCGCCGCCAGCGTGCGCGCCGGACCCCGGCCCGTTGCCTAGCTGCTCGGCTGGCCCCTCTGGCTTCTCGCGCGCAGCCTTGGGGAGGAGGGGTGCCGTCGTGGAGGAGGAGGAAGTGGAGGAGGAGGAGGAAGAGGAAGGCGGCTGCCGATAGCCCACCAACTCGTACAGAGAGGCCCCGAGCTGCACGTCCCCAGGCCGCTGGGGCCGAAGCATGGTCGCGGGGGCCGCGTTCACGCGCGCCTGGGAGACCGCATAGTACATCTGGGGGGCGATGAGGGCGGCCTAGGGCGCCCTTCAGGAACGCCCCGCCGTGGGCCCGTCAGTAGGCCGCCCCTCCCCGCGGACCTGCGCGCGGGTGGCCGACGGCAGGGCAGCTACCGGCGCCCGACCCCTTTAAACCCGGCTTGGGAACCTGCGGGGAACGCGGTTGGAGGGGCTCAACCAATCGAGGAGCGAGGCCGGGAACAGACGTGTGTTCATTGGCTGCCCGAGCCCAGGCCGGCGCGGAAGTGCCGCTGGCACAGCTCAAGGAGGTTATTGTGAGCGCCGGGCCTAGAGCCGCGGGACCGGCCCCTGGAGGGGATGGGGGACGCCTTTCGGGTGAAGCTTAGCTCTGCAAAAAGGAGAGTGGCATTTGGTCAGGTTGAAAGGCACTTGTCTCCCTCCAGCTCCCAAATGCGATCACTCTTTTTCTTGTTAAACGTAATACACGTCTTCAAAACTGAAACTGTATAGCTCTTAAGAAATTTCCCACCCCCCACCCTCAACTCCTGGCAACCACCATTCTGTGCTCTGTCTCCATGAATTTGTTCTGCTCTAGGAAGGTCACGTAGGCAGAATCTTACAGTATTCGTCTTTTAGTGACTGTCTTATTTCGCTTAGCATGTCTTAAAGCTTTATTCAGGTAACATGTATCCGAATGTCCTTTCTTCTTAAGGCTGAATAATTTATTCTGTTTTCTGTGGCTACTACCTTTCCTTTATCTGTTCATCCAAGGATGGACACTTTGGTGGCTTCCACCTTTTGGCTATTGTGAACATGCTACTGTGAATATGGATGTAATGTGTTTTTACATTGCATCCTAATACTACTGAATGACAGTAGTATTAGGATGATTGCTCCCCATAAATCCCACCCCCAGCTCTTCCATTAAGTCTTTAGGGACTAAGGAACCTTTGTGGTTGGGTTTTTCTCCTCCCAAAAAGGATGTGTGTTAATTTTATCAGTGACTTGGTTCTTGCTTAAGCAAAACTCACTCAGAAGTTGGTTTCTTATCAGAAACAAAACATGCACACACTCTTATCTGTTGAGGATGGAACTGAATCTTTCTCTTCCCCAAATAAAGTAGTATTAGTTGGTGGCTGTGGAAGTTTTCTTCTGCCAGCACCCATGTATGCTACTGCAGCTCATCATCAGAGCATGATGAAATATCATGGGGAAGAGGTTTTTGGTATCTAACCCTCTACCATCCAGTATGGTAGCCACTAGCCACAAGTGACTGTTTAAATGTAAATTAAAATATACTTAAGTTAAAAATTTAGATTTCCAGTTGCCCTAGCATTGCTTCTAATGCATAGTAGTGGCAGCTACCTAATGGTTATCCACTGCATAGCGCAGAAGTAGAGCATTTCCATCATGGCAAAAATTTCTACCAGATGGTGCTGATCTAAACAGAAAGAAGATGAGCCTCCTGCACTTTTGTTCTCTTTGGTGTAAGAAAGATACTGTGGAATCTCTGCTCCAGGAGACTATTGGTAGTGCCTCCTAGTTTTCAGGGCTTCATTGTCTCATTTTCTTCCACCAATATTTATCCCATAGGCTCACTCTGGTCTCTGTTTCCAGCCTTTAGCTGTACCTGTAACATTGGCCCATGCTTTGGGTTCAGATCCAAGACAATTTTCTTCTTAGCCTTGGTGATTTCCCACCCTCCTCCTCTCATCATGTGTGGCACACCTTTGATAACATTTCTCTGTAACTTAGATTGTCTTACCATGGTTATCATCTCAGCACTCAACTGGGATTGTTTTGAGGGCAGGGACCACCTGTTTATTTCTGCATCCTCCCAAAGCCCAGCACAGTGGTTTGCATCTGTGGTTAGCTTTTGGGGGGCACCTCATATCCAAACTACAACAGCTTTGCTTAAGGAGAGTGAAGAAGATTGGCAGGAAGGGCTGAATCCCCAAATAAAACCCGTACTGGGCAGGAAAGAGAGAGACCAAGGAAATAGCCTTGAAAGTTTCAAGCAGGTATCTAAGGATGCGTCTGAGCACTAGCTGACAGGACCACCCCTTGAAATGTGCAAACTCCCATCTGTTCTTTCTTCCAAGAGTTTCCTGTAGGTTTTATAGAGAGGGAAGGAAGCTGATTCCCAAACTCCAGAGAGGTCTGGCTTGACCTGGTGAGGGGGCCTCTATGTTAGTCAGATTTGCATTGCTGTGACCAAAATTCCTGACAAGAACAACTTAGAGGAGGGAAAATTGACTTTGGCCCAGTTTTAGAAGTTCAGTCCATGTCCCACTGGGTCCATTGCTCTAGGCCCAAGGTGAGGCAGAACATCATGGCGGAAGGCTATGATGGAGGAGCACTGTTCTATTCATGGCAGACAGGAAGTAAAGAGAGGAAAGGGGAAAGGGTACCATCCAGTCCATTCAAATCAAGATGGACTGATTAGGTTACAGCTCTCACAGTCTAATCAGTCACACCTAACATCCCTGCATTAACCCAGGAGCTTTTGGGCGACACCCCATATCCAAACTATAACAGCCTTGCTTAAGGAGAGTGAAGGAGATTGGCAGGAAGGGCTGAATCCCCAAATGAAACCATACTGCACAGGAAAGAGAGAGACCAAGGAAATAGCCTACAGAGTTCTAAGCAATGAAGTTGAATACCTTGCAATCATTCCACCTTTTGTTAAAGCAGTTTGTTTTCATAGACACCTTTTCATTTGGTTCTCATGAGACTCCTATTCTTGGGCTTTTTTCCTTACTCCTCCACCATCCCCAGGGCCGAGGACTGAACTCAGTTTGGCTTTTTTGATCCCTGCTGTATGTGGTAAAACTGAGGCTCCCAGGGGTTGGTAGGTGGCCGTGTGCCTTCATACAGGAGAATCAGCAGTTGGCCTCCTATATTCCTTCTAGCTGGACCAGGAGAAGGCCTTGTTGGGGAAAGCAGGGGACTGGGCGAAAGACCTAGGCCCAGCCAGTATTGACAAGCTGATGGGTTCCAGCCATGATCCTGAAGATCCAGTCCCCAGAGCTGACCCTTGCATTCAGGATTGCTCTCTCCAGTAGCTGAAGTACCAGATTGAGGCAGGACCAGCAACCTTTCCCTCTGGCTTCCTCCTCTGACCACACCCTAGCAGGAGCCCTGGGGTTTTATCCTTCCCCAGGAAGAGGAAGTGAATGAGGAAGACAGAACCTAGAGGCTGAGTCAGAATCGCCTAAACCACACCTTCAGCTTTTCCCACCCACAGGCAGGGGCACCCAGGAATCAAAGAGATGGAAATGCACACCCTTCCTCTCTCCCAGATGCCCCTTTATTGTGGGTATCCTTGGGGGTTCCTTCTAGACCTTGGCCTCATCTAGTCTTTTTCTTGGAGAAGGAGGCCCCCCTTCCACCAAGGATGCTGTCAGTTGGACATATTGGTCAGTGTGCATGTAAATGTTCCGGTGGAAGGTCCCAGAAGAAAGTTCCGGGTGGCCGTACGGACCCAGCATGGGCACAGGATTTGGCACTCATTGGAGCTGGTGACTTGGATGGCCCCTTGAGCTGGGCCGGAGCTCCAGTGGCATGCAAAGCATGACAGCTGGCAAGGGCTAGTGAGTCATTGTGGCCGCTGGCAGGGACCCCATGGGCAGTCTCAAGGGGAGGCAGCTGCTGCGGCCTCCCACATTCAGGACATACTTGGGGAGCACTTGCATCAGCCATAACAACCGCTCTTGTGTCTGCCCAAAGAGGCTGTGCGTGGGCATTGGTGCCGGTTTCTACCCACGGAGGTGTGTGTGTCAGACTTCCTTTGCTTCACATAGAAACCTAGGGGCTCCCCACCACCCACGCCCGCCCTGCCTTTTGTCAGGAGGCTGGAATCAGAGATATGCAAATATGCTCTGGCCAAAGCAGGGCCCATCTTCTGTAAACATAAGGACAGACTGTGCCACTACAAAGCTGGCCACCTCTCAAAGACACTGTTGTCACTTAAGACGTTTTCCTCTCCAGGAAAGCCAGTTAAGTATAGAAGGTTGTCTCTGATAAAATGTGCTGTTTAAACTGGCGGGAGCTGAGACCTGCGACAGAATAATGAAGTTTGCTTTCTCAAGTGCTACTTTCTTCTAAGAAGGTCAAAATTCTTTGGAAAGTTTAAATTACTCAGTAGACATTGAAATTCACACCATCACTATGAGAAGTGGAGGTCACATCCAGTGTCAGCCCTATATCAATATCTGCCGTGCCATGCAAATATAACTCTGTCTGTTATACAAAAGGCAGGGAGGATCTGCAGAGAGGGGACCTTAGCTTCTTTCTGGATTTCTCTCTTCTGAGGATTGGAGAGTAATAGTAGAGAGAAAAAGTGGGGAAGAAAAGATGGATATAGTGGGTAATTCTTCTTGGATAGAGAGGAACTCCTTGGAGATCCCTTCTCATCTGGGGACCCTCTCACCAAAATGTAAGTTACCCTTAGAAACATTTCAGGTTGAAGGAAGATTCCAGGTTGGGAAATGTGAAAGAACATGAGTGGTGTTGATTTCAAAAGAGAATACAAGTTAATCAAATTGTTAAAACTGATACAATGTTTATAGTTACTTTCCATGTCCTTTGGAAGCTTTATAATTGTCACAGTTGTCTTTATTTGCAACTTGGAAGAGTAGGGAAGGATGCTGTGTTCTCTGATTATAACACTAATGTGTTTTGCAAATATTATGGGAAGGGTTGTTTTATTTTTAATGAATATCATTTGGACCTGATTCCAATACACTGTACTATACTACCTAAGATGATTTCTGAGTCCAAATTAGTCTTGTGAGTGTGTGTGTGAGAGAGAGTGTGTGTGTATGTGTGTGTGTGTGTGTGAGAGAGAGAGAGAGAGAGAGAGAGAGAGAGAGAGAAGGGGGCAGGAGGGAAAGAGGGGGAGAGAGAGAGAATTGAAAGAAAAGAAAACTAGGAAAGAAATCAGATGGCATCTATGTATTGGAGAGGTTCCTTATAATAACAAAAACTTGATTTAGCTATTGGTGGTATAACACAAACAGATGGGTGCAGGCTGCACCTCTTTCAAACTCAGGGTGAACTAATAGGAGTAGAGATTTTCACTGCTTCTGTGAACACCAATCACTGAAATTCTACATGTTACAAGGACTGTATAGAAATGCATTTTAATA